CCTTCAGAGGACAGCACAAACAGGCTACTGCAGGTACTATTTAATGAAGATACCTGTGAGGCGTCAGTTTCTCAAACTAGAGACTCTAATGTACTTATCTTCTTGCTCAGTTGTGCAACGCGGCCTCCCACTTATGTTCCTACTCTGGTTAGAACCTGTTTGTGCTGTCCTCTGAAGGGAGTAGTACACACTGTTGTCCATTGTCGCTTTGCGACAACTTAACCCAAAGGTTTATTTTAACATAAACCAATGCACTAATGTCTCAAATTTTGAAAAACTTAAAAATTTCGCATCTCCCAAATGTCTCAACTGCAACGCTTTTATTGGTTCCGCTATATAATTTTTTTTTTTTCAATTTTAATGTTTTATTTAGATTACAAAAATAAAAATAATCCTATTTATGTTTTTTTTTTTAAATAAGACCTATGAAAGACTAATTTAAGACATTTTAATACCAATTAAGGGCTTAGTTTTATTTTGAGGAATTCAATGCCTTTTAAGGCTTTTTAAGGACCCGAGGGAATCCTGTTATAGCACCCAGACCACAATCAGTTGTAGGGAGTAGAGTGAAGTCCTTTGTGATCTAATTTTGCCTTATATGTAAAAAAAAAAAGTTAACAAAAAATACACCATCATCCTTCTCAGTGTTGGTCTTTCACATATACTTTTAATAAAGTGGCATTTTAATTAACAGACCAAACCTGCTAATGTTTAATAAGTAATCAGCTGTATAAATGAGAGTTTTTAATGAACAGATGGAATTTAAGACATTTGCTTCAAAAAGGAGTTTTATTGAGTTTAATACAGGGGCGGCTTGAAGTCAGATATGTGTACATTCCACTTTACAATTCATACAATTAAATCTTAAAATGTACAATTTACAAGGTTTACATGGTTCAACGCGTTTCCAACCACAAAAATAAAAAAAAAAGCACTTATTTTCATAAGGTCATAAAAATCTAATTCCTTATTGTGTAGCTAATCTAAAATTCAAACGGCCACATATGTAATGTGTTAATATAAGTTAAAATCTTTAGAATAAAAGTTTATAATATCTCCCAGGACAGACGAACACAAAGAATGGCACAAGGATCGCCTATGCGAACGTAAATAAAAAGTTGAACACCGGCTACATGTGGTTAGACATGTATAGATCTCTCACCAAGGATACCAGCATTCAGACACCACCGACATGCTCACAGATCTAGTTTCCACGGATCTGTAATGTGAAATCCATCAGCATTTAGAAGCACAGCTTTTCTGTGATACTGGAAATGCACAGTTAAGAGATCTTTCTGATGGATTACAGCAATATTTCTGACATCCTCGGTCTGGTTTGAGTGAGTGCCAGTCCATCAAAAGAAGAAAGGCAGTTTCAAAAGATTCCTTCTTCCACGTCGTAGTTCAGTCTCGCCGGTTCCAGCCTATTTGATTCATGCGTACTTAAAAAAAAAAGGAAAGAAAAATAAAGCAAAGCTTTGATGTTCAAGTAAACTAAACCAAAACATCATTTCAAACACTGAAATAAAGAGTCAGTTGTGCAGAGGATGCGTGCGCCGAGCCTCTGAATACAAGTGGTGAGGCGGACGACGGCAGGAACTGGATTCACGAGCTCCTCCACGAGCAGCGGCGTAACGACAGTCTGTAGCAGGAGGGACGGAATGAAGCGCAAGAGGAAGACTAGCACTGCAGAAAAGCCCAGCATCGATATGGATGCGGTTGCTAAGGCAACAAGCTCCTAGGACAAGAACGGCATGCAGGAAATGGGAACCCAAAGCCTTTCCATTATGATCACATTAAAAGACGGACAAACTTTGGCTTACACTTTTATAACCGACTAAAACAACTTGATAGGAGCATAAAAACAAAGAGTTCATACTTTGAACAAGGTTATAGAAGTAAAACACAATGTAACGGCAGAAACGTTTATGTTAATTGTGCAAAATTAGAGTCAGATTAGGGATGATGGACTGTTTAAAAGTCAGTCTGGGTAGACAGCTCCGCTTAGGACCAGACACAGATGGAGAGGCGGCGGCTGGCTGGGTGTTAGGGTGGGGGGGGCGTCATATGTGTGTGTTTTTAAAGCAGGGAACAGTAGCCGCCGCAGGATCCGCCACCGGCATCTTCATCTGTGAGCTGAACGGCTCTGCCATGGCTCTCGCTCTGCCACAAACCAGGTGTCTGGATGATCTTCTCCACCAGCTCCTCAAACGCACACTGAACACCGTCCTTCGTCTTTGCACTGGCCTCTGGTGGGGAGTTGGGGGGGTCACCGAATGAAAGAGAAAACATGATCAAAATGGAAAAAAGAGCAGGAAGAGCAACAACAATGTGGCATTGTGGAACAACAGGACACCCTGGATAAATACAAGACGCTGAATAAAAATATACAGAGAATAATAATGAGCTTTATGGCATAAATCAACATATCGGAGCATAACTCTACAAATAATAACATAATAAAACTGAATAAGATTGCAATCAATCTGTTTTAAAGTATTGAATTAGGTCTGGACTTTAGACCATTTTATAGGGTGATCCTGTTCTGATATAAACCAGTGGATTCTTCACCACATAAGTCAGCCATCCACCAATCCATCCGTGTTCCCACAGAAGGAAAGCCTCCACAAACTGAGTGTTCCCGCTGACAGAGCTCTGGATCTATGCAGCTCCTCCAAAGTAACCATGGGTTTAGGGATATCCCGATCGATATAGAAATCGGAAATCCATCCCAATATCAGACACCAGCCTCAGATATAATCAACCTGATGGAAAATAATCCATCATTTATATTTAAAGTTTATACAACTAATTGGTTACTAATAAATGAATCTGTCATTCTCATACCGATTGCTGCCGCCTTTAACATCATATCAGAACAAATAAGGAGCAGAGAGTTATGAGGTGGATCATGAAGCAACCACTCCAAAGTATTACTTTACTAACAGTGCTTTCTTTAGGTTTTACTCTGTTCCAACAGGTATGCACAGCAGCTCTGTGTAGAACAATCATGCAAACTTACCGATGAAAAGCATGGAATGTTTTCTTGCAAACTTCAGTCCTTCAGCTCTGTCTACGTCGTGGTTATCCTGAAACAGGAAACACATTTCGAGGTCTGAGGAGATCCGGTCCAGTGCCACAAACCTGCTGCGTCCTGCTGCAGACCCACTGACCTTATCGATTTTGTTTCCTACCAGCATTTTAACCAGGTCGTTCCTGGTACAGTAGGTCTCCAGCTCGTTCAGCCAGTTGTCAAGCTTTGTGAAGGTATCTCTTCTGGTGACATCATACACTGAGAATGAGTATAAAGCCACAATTTAAAAGTGTTTCTACAGAACAGCGTATTTCAAGGCTGAAAGGTATTCACTCTTAATATAAAGCAGCTCTTAATAGCATTAAGATTAAGGGTTTTTGAGCAAATGTGATGTATCATTTTGAAATGTTGCAACAAGTATGAATACTTTTAGAACATTTGATCTTCTTTGGCAGCTTCTCTTCGGGAACATTTGCTTCTCGTTTGGAAAAGTTAAATCTGAAGTTAAATCTAACAGTAACAAGTCTAATCCTGTTCTTTCATTTTCTTCTAGTGATCTCATTCTTTTTTCATCCGGATCAGAGACCTGCTGAGATAATAAATTTTATACTACTAAAGGTCTCTAGCAAAGATCTGATGCTTTTGGGTGTAAAACCAGATTTCATTGGGAATAGGATGTTCTATTGGTGAATTGCTGGGATTATGTGCTTACATCCTGTGATGCTTTTCTTGTTATTTAATACAGGAAACCTTTATTTACTCCTCAAATGCTCTACACATGTGTGTAAACCTGCGACAGTGGAGGTCTCTACTGTATGGATGAGTAAATTGTCCACTAAATTACTTAAAGCGGTGATTATTCTGTAAATTATATATTCAAAGTTTCCAAGAAATAAGGAGAGGTTTGTTTTTGACTGAATTAAAGCTTTAGTTTTAGTTAGTTTTATGTTGCAATTCATAAAACAGTTAACCTTTTACAATTTTGAATAACTAGATTCTTTACCAGACTGAAATAATTCATCATTTAGTAAAACAACACTGATAGAGACTGTAAAACATGTCTTTAACTGACAATCCACTTAGAGAGAGTCAGTAATTATATCAAAAATGTGAAAAAAAAAATATATATAAACATTTTGCATTTAAGATTAAAAAAAAAAAATCTGTCAATATGCTCTATGAAGAAGTTTGGTCAATTTTTATATTCACCTGGTTTAATTTAGTAAAAAAAAATATATTCTTAGAGGGTTCCTACAGCAT